AAATACCATAAAATCTATATAGAAGGGAGGTTAATTGTGCGTTCATTTGACACGTATAAAACGAGATATTGATAAATATTCCAGATACGCCCTGTCAGTAGCTGATCTAGGATTTTCGTACATAATATGTATAGGTAATAGGTATAAAAGTTTTATTCTACACTAAATTTACAAAACTAGATTTAATTTTCTTGATGACTGTGCCATTCCATCAATGACTTCATTGGGTTTCACCTGTATTGTCCTATGAACAGACAACAATGCCTATCTAAAAATCAAGTCAAAGGAAAGCTAGAAAAATAACTATATTAAATTGAAAAATAATATAAAAAAGGTGGGCAAGTGGGTGCCACTCTACTGTACAGTAGATTACAAGTGGGTCACTGTATAATGGATGGTATTAAATTTGAATTCAATGATATAGGTAATATCATTGTAAAATTAAAAACGATTCTGAGCCAAGGCCGTATCTGGGGGGGGGGTTTGGGGGTTCAACCCCCCCCCCCCCGAAATTGTTCTCGTTATTTTATGTCGTAATAAAATAACTATTTCAGTCTAGAATAATCGATAAACATTGATACGTGCATATACGAATGACAGCTATGGTCTACGTTATAAACTTAAAAATAACTTCCCTTCGGGTGTACCTATCAGCTGGATTTCTTGATAATATTATAGGTACATACTACATAGGTATATATGTATAATACATTACCACCAGAATGTGTAATCGACAAATAACTATTTCTTAGTATTATATAGTACTATATCTTATCTTAATAGTCTTTGATAATAGTTAAAACTTTTTCACGGGCAATATTCATTTCCAATATTTAGTTGACATTTGGTTTACGTTCTGACGTTTTAGTGTGCTACGATTTACGAAGTGTTTAATTTATTTATTTGAAATGGCAAAAAGACAAAACACTATGATGAATAATTTCTTTATAAAAAAGCCTAAATTAAATTTATTGGAAAATGAAGTCGAAGACACACCACATACATCAAGTTTATGTCCAGAGTTGAACAATGAAACATATACCTCAAACGTTAATATTTATGATATTGGGAAATATTTGAATCAAACTGTAAGTAACGAATTGAAGTATAAATTATTAGTAAATAAATGGACAACCGATGAAACTTATAAATTTCCCATAGTTGGAAAAAGAAATTTAAAATTCCAGTTTAATTGGTGTAAACGATTTTCTTGGCTTGCTTACACAACAATAGGCGAACAAGGAGCAATGTGCATGTTTTGTGTTTTATTTGCCAGGGATTTCGGAGGAAAGGGAAATCATCAACAATTGGGAATCTTAGTTAATAAGCCATTTAATAATTGGAAAAAAGCTATTGAAACTTTATCCCATCATAGCACAACACAATTTCATAAAAATAGTGTAATATTTGGTGAAAATTTTATTAACACGTATACCAAACTTCAACCAGATATTCGACAACAACTCGATTCCGCAAGAGCTCTATAAACACACTTTTTGGTTTACAACCTCCCCCGAAATTAATGTCCAGTTACGGCCTTGTTCTGAGCGGAGACAGTATGTCAGTCTAGGTACAACTGTATAAGACATACTATATACTTATCTATGTTATTAAAAAAAAATTGATCTATAATAGGTACCTATAATAAATTCTAAATTAATCATATCACAATATCCATTAACATCAACTACAAACCTTGATACTATCATAAATATATTATAATAGTATACTTTAGAAGTTTTACGTACCCACAAATAATATTATACAGTCACAACAAAATAACTAAAATAGTTATTCAAGGTTTTTAATATGCAATTTCGTCTAAATTTGAACTTAAAATTACTATAAAAATAAACCGTGCTTATGTATTTTATTAGATTTTTTGGTAACAGAATTTACTACAAACGTGGAATCTTGTTTTAGAATTTTTAATCCTTGGATATAAAAGTTAAACATTTTATACATTTTTAACTAAAAAATAATTATTCAAATTTAAATTTTGATAATTTTTGTCAAAATTCGATCTTTAAATGCTTATAAAAAAAAAGCTGTGCATATGTATTTTAAATATTTTTCAACTGCTATTGTAACAATATATCAGGAGCCTTGTATTAAATTTTTACACTTTTCAGCCCAACAGATGAACATTTATTGATATTCATAGAAAAAAAAAAAAATTGAAATTTTAAATTGTCCGTAAAAAGCTGAAAACAAATCAAAATATTTTGAAAATTTTATCTACTATGAGAATTGATGAAATTAACATTCAGTAAAATTTTCATGTATCTACAGTTATTGTTTTTGAATTACAACAAAATAAGAAAATCGCTACATGAGAAATCGAGTGAATATCCAATGTTGTACAAATTTGAATTTTAAACCCTGATAAAAATGTAATTTGACTTTCTTATAAACATTTTTTTTTGATAAAGATAGATAATCTCATAGGAAATCTTGTATTACATTTTAAAATCTTAGATTTAAAAAGAAAAATATTTATGAATTTCTAACTCAAAATAATTTGCAAATTTTCGTGATTTTTCAATATTTTGTCAATTTTTGAACTTTAAATGCTTATAAAAAAACTGTGATTAAGGATTTTTAATTTTTTTCATCTGCCTTTGAAACAATATACTATGAGCCTTCTATAATATTTCTAAGCCTTTTTAACCAACAAAAAACATTTAATTGATATTTTTAGAAAAAAAAACTAAAAAAAATGGAAAATGAAAATGTTCCTTAACAGTTCAAAACAAATCATAATATTTTGAAAATTTCATTGTGTATAGAAAATACAAATATAAGAAACCAGTGTAAATTTCATGTACCTATCTACGCTCATTTTTTTGAAATGTTACACCAAAAACCAAATTCAATTTTGTGAAAAATCGATTTTGCGTAAAAATAAGCCTATAACATTTCCATCTATAATATAGTTATAATATAATATTTTATGTTAATTTGCAATATAATAACTAATTAACAGTAACTGACTTTTATTATAAATTATTATTTACTAAAACATAGTTAATATTTGGATTTTTTTTTAGATAATTGATTTTACAAAATTGAATTTTCTTTAACTATGTGGTTTGAGAAAAAATTAACTTATCGTGCCAATATAATTAATTAACTCGTTAAGTTACTGAATGACATGAGGAAAAATGTAACTCGTTAAGTAAAAATTTACTTCTTTGGAAATGAAAACACGAGTTGATCAGAAAATTGTTTTTTTATTTTATTTATCATGATTTGCGAGTGTTAAAAAATGATCTGTGTACCAACCAAAGGACCTACCACCCAACATCAAAGAGGTAATACTGATCTTGGAAATGCTATCTGTCCTTTCTATGAGTTTTGGAAACGAAAACTGAAAAACCCTAAACCCACGTGTTTTTAGTTAAGACATTTAACTACTTAAAGATACGATAAATAGTAATTAATACATTTGTATCTACTTAGATGTATTATTAGATATAATAATATGTTCAATAAGGAGGATTTAAGTTCCAAGCACAAAAAATGTCAACCCTCATCCATAACCTAAAGTTTTTTCAATCATATTCAATATTACTTTATAGTAGTGCTTCAGGCTTCAGCCCCCCAAATCTCAAATGCTATTTGCGCTAATGGATACAATAGAAACAATTTATGATTATATAATTTTATAGATCCTTGATATTATAGAGTAGGTAGTAGGTGCAATACACTTAATTACATAAATACCACACGACATTTAAAAGTATAATTTTTTTTACTTAAAAATAAACAAGAACAATAGAAATAATTTATGATTGTCATATATTAAGAGCTGGGACAATACAAGTTCAAGAAAAGTATTTGTAGTTTTATTAAATATATTTGTAGACAATGTATATGCCATATTTCTTCTAATTTTAATATCAATATAATATGTAACCAATTGCAATCATATAGAAATACAAGAAATGCTAACTAGTAATTTCTACTAATAATATTTCTCCTATTAGTATAATATTATAATCTGTAAGCTGTAACCAATTCATAGTATCTATTAATACACATAAAAAGTTTCAATTTCTATCGTAAATCTCAAAATCTTTGTGTGAGCACTTTTCGAGGTTGTAGCTGCCAGGTCCAATTTATTGTAAATCTAAACCATTCAGGGATGCACACAAACACACAGATAAAATGTCATCAGTTTAGGAGTTCAGTGACACAATTTCTCTCAAACCAATCTAACCCATAAAACATTGAGCAAATAATTATCAAGAATTAGCGTTAGATTTTAAAATTGCAAATAAATATTTTCAAATAAATACGTGACAAAAATAAAGAAAATATGAGCCAACTTCGAGTAGCCCACTTTTTTTCATCCACACTTTCAAAACTGGTATCAAAAATTTTATTCGACTACCTAGGCTTTTTAATAAAAATTCAACTAAGAATCTTTTTATTCAGATTAGATTATTTATTAATTCAGGTCTTTTATTAATTTTTTATTTTTTATTTAATTTCTATTCTTATACAATTAAGAATATATTTTTATTTGGTTTTCTTTATTTATATTAGATTACTGAACACGGCCCAAGATAATCAAGACTATATCCATTGATTTTTAGATCACCTGAAAAGTTATCTTCTTGTATTTAAGAAAGATATATAGTCAGTTATTTAAATTCAATTATTCATTTTATAGCAAAAAAATGTACTAACTTTTATTGTAAAATAATATCTAAATTAAAGACAATTGATTTCAGTTTTATTGTTTACAAAATGAAAAAAAAAATATGAATTATAAATGAAATCAAATTATGAAATACTTATTATTAATGATAACATTAATGATTAATGATCAGTTAGTATTAAACATACAGAAAAACTTAATACATATACATTATAATTAATAATTTAAATTATTATTAAAAGTACAAAATAAAATTTTTCCTGGTCACAAAAAATAGAAATATATTGCAAAAGGTTTCTCATGTAAAGAAACAAATGAATACTATACATTTAATTTAAAGATCGTTAAACTGTTCACTCAAATAAGCGCTACCTGTTCCAGAAAAGGGAACTTGAATTACCTTAATCTTAACATCAGGCATCATAGTATCTAACGATTCCTCTAGAGCACGAACTGTATATATATCAACAATAACTGACTTGTCTTTTTCTTTTTCAGGAGTAGCCTCATCTCCTGGTCGCTGTAGGGGCTTTCTTGTTCTGCGTATAGGTATATTGTTGGTCGTTCCTTTGGCATGGGATAATTCTAAATTATAACCATTATTATGTGGGTTCTGTTGAGATTGAGTTAGAAATAAGTCTGTATCAAGGATTAACTCATGAGTCAATCCCCAAACGAAGTGTGTTAATGTCTTGGACAGTTTTTTGAGACATTCTGATTGACTGTTACGGATAGCAATTGGGCCTAAAAAAAAAAAAAAAAACAGATCAATATTAATAAAAAGATGTTGTAAAATAATGTAATACATAAGAAGTTACATACTCCGTTCACATAAGCAGGAATAATCAGTAAACCTTTAATACCATCACATTTTTCCAATTCATCTTCGACACAATTACAGAATTCTATGTTTACCAATTCCAGAACATTGAGCTTTTCAAGACCTCTAATGACAGTAAAAACATCATGTGCAGATTGATCCCATCCATTACAGCAATTTTCTAATCTCAATGTTTTCAAATTGACAAATCTTTTTAGTGACATGGCAAAATCCTTTGTTAAGCATTCGCAATCACCAATTTCAAAAAACTCAATATTATCAGTAATAGTATTCAAACTCTGATAGTTCTCTTTTGGAAATTCTTTAATAGAGGTTAACGACTAAATAATAATCATAAAAATAATAGTAGTAAATATAATACTTTTCTTTCCTTAAATATTTTAATTATATATATAATTAATTATTAATAAACTTACAAATGTATTCAAATTTATTAAATTTTCAAATGATGGCAATGCCGTCAATTTTATTCCAGTTAAACCTTTTAGTCTTAACTCTGTGAGCTTTTTCATTTGTCCCAAATAATTTAAGTTTAGGTACATTAAATCATTGAGATTGTTTGTCTGATTCGTCAAATTTGGATTTCTAAAAATAAAATTAATTATTGAAACTATTGAAAAAAAAAATGGATTATATTTTCTTTATTACATTATTGAAGTCGCTTTAAGTACTTCAATTTGAGGTAATGAGTAAATAATATCTTCAACTACAAGGACAGGACATCTATACAATTCAATGAATTTTAACTTTTGAGCAGATTTCATTGCATATGCAAATCGTATCCAAAAACTTTCGAAGTCTTCAACTTTAGAGGGTATCAACATACCTCTAGTGTCTAATTTATCAGTTCTTTGTTGATTAATTGAGTCTACAAACCTATCCCAGTCATAGACCATAGAATTGTTTAAACGAACATTCTGCCACTAAAAATATTTAATGAATAAGCAAAAATACATGATATGAAATGTTAAGGTTATACTTACTAAGTATTTGTTCATTGCAATTAAATGCCAGGTGTTACATACTCTAGAAGCTGATAACAGCTCATGTGTTTTCAAATATTTAAAAACATGTCCCAATGCTTTAACCATGTAATTTAATGATTGCATTTTTACAAATTCATTTAAAGAACCATTCATTTCAGTATTCCTGTGAAATTTGATAAAAAAAAAAAAATTAGGTTTATAATTATTTTATTGTACTTGAAAGTATATAAAGACCACTAGTTTTAACATGCAAACTAAATTAGGTCTCAGAATATGTATGAAACAATTAGTAAATAACAAATAGGGGTTGAAAGGAATATAGAAATGCAAAGTTTCTGCTCAAATCTGAAAACAAACACAATGAAATGATTAAAGTAGTAAAAAACAAACATTTAACATACACTTATTCATACAAATAAGACCAATGACCAATGCTACTGTGTGTCTGGTCCATTATTACATTCCACCAAAATATATGGAAGATATAATATTTATTTACTCATCCAGATTTTTAGGTTCTTGAATAAAACAGGTAATCAAACTGGGTCATCGTGTTTGTTTCATTTCATAAACGTGCTGCTCATGAAAACTACCAACAACCATTGAAGTTTTGTACACATTTCCTTGACAAATAACTTTATTAATTATATCAGAGTTGCTTTTATCACTATACTCATCAGTTTCATAATGCGTTTCTTCAGTTTTAGAAATAGATGCTCTATCAATAAATAATTAGGTGTGTCTGAAGCATGGTGCACCTGTCGTATACGAATCGGTTTAACACGTAGTTGTTCTGGTTCAGTAGCACCAACAATCACAGTATGAGAAGACTGTACACGTCTATTTCTGTGTCGCACAGACGCACAGTAGATTGACAGTTTTAAATAAAAAAAAAGGAAAAAGTATTATTGTATTAAAAAAATAAAAAAAACTATAAATAATCACTTACTATACATACATAACTATCAATTTTTAAATTATCATTTAAATTGACACATGCTGGAAGATAGTAGACCAGACATTGAGCACACATTAAAATGGCATGTTCATCATTATTTAGGCACCGTAAAAATCACAAGGTGTCTGCATAATGACTACACCATTTGATGTTGACAACCTATTTTTATCCATTCAAGTATATGGTTTGATTGAGGAAGATTATGAAGGAAGCATAAGGATAACAACCCCTTAATTTTGCGTTACATTTGTGAAGCCAAATAATAAACTTATAAGTAAAAACTGTTTAAGCATAAACAATAAAAAAATAAAGCCAATATGTTACCGTCTTTTAATTAGTGTGTTATTTATATCAATTTCCTCAAGTTTTGTAGAAGAAACGGTTAGTGATGCACTAGATTGAAGAGCTTGGCCGTTTTCAGATATGTATTCAGGTGAAGATGAAGATGTATTCATTGATTCTGAAATACCTAGTTGATAATGTAAAATGTCAGTTCTGTATTTAAATTGCACAATAAAACAAATAATTATTTATCAGATTAATAGGCAAATAAACACACAGGGAGTTCCACCAAATATAAAATTATATTGTATGCAATTGTGAATTTTATTTTAATTAAATATTTCACATTTAGATTGACTTTTGTGTGCATTTTAGAATATTACAATGAAATGCAGTATTATTTGAGATAATGCGACTATACCAATTCACAACTGCAAGTGTCAATTGCAATAGTCAATACCAATTATTTGAATTTGGTTTATTTAATAATTTATAAATATATATTAAGTGTTAAACAAATTAAAATTGAATCCAAATTTTTTATATGGTACATACTCAATTAAAATTGAATCCCTATTCACAATTCATAAACAATAATAAAATAGTAAATGAAATATATTTACTTTTACCTTCTTTAGTAAGAACTATTTTCATTTTACTTAAAGACTTGTTGTTTTCATCATCTGACAATTCATAATCAAATTTTGGCCGGTGTACAGGTGTCTCAGATCTTTTAGGTCTAACCACAACACCAACAAAAGATTCTTTCTAAAACCATAAAATGTATGAAGGGAAATTGAAAATGACTCAAGTAATATTTATTATATTTAAGTTTATATATTAATAATTGAAAAAAATTAGGGATGACAAACTTATTTCCTAAACTCTAACTTAAATCTTGTTATGTGCAGTGAAATTCCTTTACAATCTTTAATTCTGGCACAACTTTTTAAGTTGTAAGGGTTTCAATTTTTAACAAAATAGTTTTAAATTATTATTTATTAGTCTAAAAAAAAAAATATTATCAAAAAACCAGACATTGTTAATGTGACATCAAAATGTGTGTGAGGTTGAAAAATAAATCAATCTATTCTTTTCTTTTACAGAAACAATATAAGCTATTAAAACCATTTAAGATTAAACATCAATTTTTCTCAGTTCAACATACTTAAAGTTTACTATATTTAAGGGTTTTCAGAATTTATGAAAAATCAGGGTGGAAATAAAAAATAATTTACAAAGTAAAGCTGATGAATTTACATGTGTTTTTTAAATTGTTATTAGACAACCTGCTACAATAAACAAAAATAAATAAAAATTGTTTTCATTACTTTAGATAATTTTGAATTTGCATCTCTGATAATTTCTTTAGATCGATCATTAATGCCAATTGGTTGTTTTAAAAATGTAAAACTTTCTATGGTCAGATTTTTATCAGCTGAGATGTCCAATTGTTCCTGAATTTCTCGTAATGATCTAAGTTTTTGGTTAGTTGGAGAATGATAGTATACATCACCACGTCTACTTCCACTTCTATTAAGAATAGTAGATTTTCTGTACACTAATTCTCGTTTCCATCCTGAAATTTATTAAATACAAATAATACCCAAAAATAGATCATTAATATTATTTACTTACCATACTCAAATGGCAGTTTATAAATATCATCACAGATATTAACATTTGGTTTTTTATTCGAAGCATGGCGTATTCTATTGTTAGAAGTGGTAAGGTTGATTTTTGGAGTAGTAAGTTCTAAAAATGTTAAAAATAAATAACAATTTGATAAAATTATCTTTTTTAAAACCAATCTTTGTTCTTTTAAAGCAAACCCTGTACATATTATGAAACTAAATGTAAGAACAACAAAAGATTAAAATATAAATAATTTGGTTTTTTTTTTTTGAATATTCATGTTCATTATAATATATCAAATAATGATGAAAAAACAATGAGGTGACGAGGCTTGGAATTTGCGCTCATTCAAAGCCAATGGCAAGTTAATAGTTAATTAATTATAATTGAATTGATGTTTTAGTAAATTAAATAAAGTTTAATTAAAACGTCTAAGAGAACATTTGTGTAAAACAGAAAAATGAAATGTTCAGGTGTTATACAATGTTTGAGTGTACAACAATGAACATAAGATCATTAAGACTTAAAGCTAGCATCATAAGAAATACTTTTTAAAAAGAAAATAATAACTATGGAAATTAATTTTGAGGGTGTATTTATATTGAGTGCAAATTAATTGGATGTATTTTACTTGTTTTCCATAAAAATACTGGAAGATTTTGTCTATTTTCCGATATATGTATTATACATTTGTGGTCACTCACCTAAAGTAGCGGGAACTTGTGATTCCAAAGATTGTAATTCATCACTACGTAAATTGTATTTCTTATGCCTCTTATTACTCAAATCGTTCTTAACATCATTAGGTTCTGGTGATGATACTATAAATCAATCATATAAATAATACATTATTATTACACATTCATAATCTACATGATATAAAATATAAGTAAATAAGCAGGTTTACTGATAGTCTTTATAACTTACTACTTGATTTAGACAGTTTCTTTTTATTAATATGATTATTATTAACAATGGATGGCTCTTCTACTTCCATAGTTTCACCTGTTTCCTTACTTAGTTCCATTTTTACCGCTAAACGTGGTCATAAACAAAAAAAAATTATAAAATTTAAAACTGGTACATATTTAATTTTAAGTTAAATACAAAAGCTGTACAAACATATTATAGACAAAAAACTTACATTTTTTCTTATTTTCAATAATTATCAATACATTATCATCCATATCAAATCCAATTAAATGTTGTTCTGGTTTATTGGTTTCCTAAAAATAAAGAAATTCAAATTATAACTTATTATTTTTAATTTATCATATTATAAAATCTTGCTATAATATTATATTATGATTAATACTACAAAAAATTTTGTATGTTATTTATAATATAAGCTAATCTAGACTAAATTTTTAGTATGTAATTAAGTGGTTTTTATATAAAGAATAATACAGAAACTAAGCACATTTTATTAGGATACGTTTTAAGTGGGTAAGCTGTATTATATTCACTTTATTTAGTTAATGTTAAATTAAGACAAATTATTTTTACATGCTATATTGTTAACCTTGCATGTAAATCATAACTTTTACACTGAAATAAGTGCCTTGCAAAAAATAAAATACAAATTATACTTATCATTAAGTTATTTTTTTTTTTTTAAAAACAAAATAATTAAAGAGACAAATAACTTAAACATTTTGAAAAATATAACGGATAAGAAAAATCTTTTGATGTACAGTTGTCAGTACCATAGACATAAATAATAACTAGATAGCCGACTTCCTATGGTTTCGCGTTTCAATAAGTGAGACGACAGCCATTTGCGATCAGCCAATGTTAACATTCAACAATATAACCTCAAATTTTTTATAAATTAATATATCTATATCATAGACATATTAATAAATGGACTGATCGTAGAAAGAGAGGTTCGTATACCAACATTGTTAGAAAGAAATAGCATACAACTTAAGATGGTCATAAAAGAACATATTACATATCATGGAGTAAAAAACATTATAATCAATTTAAAACCATTTAGGTAGATAACAAAAATTGATAATATATTAATATTTAACATTTATATTATTATCATGATCATCCATAGATAAGTTATTATGTTATCGCCTCCAAATTTTGCTTGCCATTCCATGATATCTAATTTTTTGATCTATGATTTTCTTAAACTATGCTCTATCTCTTTCACATTCATGTATAATATCTTTGATCTCTTTCTAACAACGGTGACATAGGTGGGGTGTGTGGGGGACGCAGTCCATTTATTAATATGTCTATGATCTATATATTTTAAATATTATTATTATTACTATTATATATAAGTATAATTTCTATCAACTTTTTATAGGTTAGGATTTTAGATGTTAACATGTTAGTGATACTAACATAGAAATAATCATCCATATATTCTTAAACAATGTATTACAACAAATATTGAAATATTGAAAATACATATTAAATGTATAACTGTATAGAAATTAACTAGTGTTGTATTATATTTAAAAATAAAAATAAAATGTTTTATAACATTGTATAGATATACATGAAATTTTAAAACAAAATCAAAGATGAAAATAAAATGTTTATAATTAAACATATAGTCTTATTGAAAAATGGGCTGTTAACTTTTTTAGTGCTGGATAAAATCCAGAACTAGGTGGGCCGATACCTTGACTGTCTGGCGCTGGTTGTATAGAAAGAATTAAAGGCCCCAAGCCACCATACACGTCATATAATCAATTTAATTATGTCATTAGATATTGTTCTTCAACAATAAAATTGTGCGTACGACGGCTGCACATGTAAGCCGGTGACGGGTGTGCGTTTGTGTGTGTGTGTGTGTGTGTTTGTGTGTGCATGTGTGTGTGTGTGTGCGCGCGCGTGCGGGCGGGCGGACTGCGGCCGACACGCAACCAGTCCTGTGTGACAATTCTTACGTCCGAAGTCGATAACCCTGTGAGAGGGGGAAAAGTGGACTGTATATGGCCGGGCACTTGGTCTCGATATTCGTACTGCGACTACTTACTTGGTGGGTTGACGAGAGGCGGTAGGCGATGCGTTGATCCCGGTATTGGGCAATTGGATTCGGCAAACGCGACGCACTAAAACATATGAGCCGACGGGTTCGGGTGGCGAACGGCAAGGCACGTGAACACAGCGATGATCACGGAAAATCGCACTGTGTGTACAACAAGCGGGCGATAACACGCGGTAGTGTAATTACCATAAAATAAGATAGACCGTGATCGGTGGGTTAGCATAAACCGGACGGGCGAAAACACTTGTGTGACCACGGCTCGGAATCGCGCAGCCAAGAATCGAATGAGTGACGGACAAATAACAATGAACCGTGGTGTCGGCACAGGCGGCCGGAAATCGAGACGACTGTACGCGACGAGTTGGGTGAGTATTGAGGCTCGGGTGAACGGAACGAAATAAATATGGCGGTATTAACGGCGACGGCGCACCGGTGCGCGATGGTAAAATAATACGGGTTTATACGACGACTTAAAAGCGACCAATTGCCTAGACGGTTTCAAAACGACAAAAATTCCGACGTGTACCGGCGACTGGCGGCTCGACTGCGAAGATACCGCCCCCTCTTCGGCGGCGGTGCAACAGGGTAACAAACATTGCGACTTGGACGCGTCGCGCGAAATTCAAAATATCGAATTTGTATCCAACAAAAATGGTTTTGATATTTTCAATAATTCAGTATAATGAGAACACCTTTAATATAATATTATAGATTAAGTTCTTTTCAATTTATGTTATACATTCAGATATGCTAACTCTATTTACAGAGGTATTGGCTTGTGTATTAACAATTTTACACAAGGAGTAACAACTAACAAGTAGTCACTAGCGTTACAGTGATACCACTGTAGGCAATCGTCCATTCCACTACGAGCCTACAAATGCCATAGATCCGGTGGTAAGTATTACTGTTGCGGAGCCACTGTTCATGTAATTATTCCATATCTACGTCGGTGATAAGATAACATTCAAATAATTACCTCGTGAATTTAAATATTATAATCATTATTATTAATATAAGTAAATAATAAAATTGAGTATTGTAATTTTTATATCCTAAATCTAAATTATTATACTTATACTTAAAAAAAAAAAAATGTAATAATGAAAATTCTAACACGTCCTACAAAAAAAAAAAAAAGATAATAATAATAATAATAATAATTTATTAAACTTTAATCTTTATCTTTATACATTGTCCATGTATAGGAATTCCGCGTTGTATATAATTGTATCTTTAATAGTTTAATATCAATGATCTTTATTACAATCAAGATAAATTTGAATTATTCATTATTATGAATTATGTTCGGGTAATGAACTGTAAAAAAAAGTAACAAACAATATTGAATTAAAATTAATTATATTAATTTTATGTTGTATTATATTTTTGTAGGACGTATTAGATAAAGTTTAATAAATTATTATTATTTTTTTTTTTTTTTCGTAGGACATGTTAGAATTATTCTTACTTTTTTTGTTATAAGTATAATAATTTTACAATACTCAATTTTATTATTTACTTGTATTAATAATAATGATTATAATATTTAAATTCACGCGGTAATTATTTAAATATTGTTATCTTATCACACACGTAGATATCGAATTAATGCATGAACAACAGTCGTGGCTCCGGAACAGTAATACTTGCCACCGAAACTATGGCATTTGTAGGCTCGTCCATTCCACTGGGTTCGAATCAGCCGTCCATATCATTATTATAATTATTATCATTATTCATTATTAGTTCAGTTTAGTGATGGCACAGATTATGTATCTATGATTTTGTTACTTAATTTATTCTACATATTATGTACTCTATACCCTTTGGCGTTCATAATTTAAATAAAATAAATCCATATAGGGGAAAATAAATGTTTTAAGTACATATAAATATTAAAAAATACATTATATTGCTTGTAAGTTGATTGAGGGGATTGTAAAAATTTGAAAGGGCTAAGCTTCCCAATCACCACAACTCGATTTTACTATTATAAAATAATAAAACAACAATTTTGACAAAATTATAAAACAAATACTAATGTAAATTCTGCGGCAAATAAATTTATTGAAATTTAAAAAAAAAATTAAGAAAATAATTGTTTTTTAGAAAAAAAATATCATCAAAAACTAAATAAATTAAGCCTTGGTCAACAACTGCAATTTTCATATCAATTCGTCATAGAGATAAATTATATCTGACTTTAAAAAAGCATCCATTAAACGAAAAACTTAAACAGTACTATTTAAAATATACAAATACGTTACCTAACTAACACAATAGAAGAAGATAAAACTACATTTTATAAATCTGAACTTAATGAAGCCGGAAATGACACAAAACTAAATTGGAAAATTATTAAAAATGTGACAAACCGTTCTAAAACAAATAATTCCTTTATTCAAACTATTAATAACAAATTAATTGGTGAAAAACTGCATTCCGCAGATTAATCAAAAGAAATATCGAATTATTTTAATTAGTAGGTACTTTACAAATGCAGCACAAAGAATGTATAACCAAATAAAACTTACAAGAAAAAATATACATATGTAACATACAATGTACATAATAATATACTGAACAACTAACCTCAAATACTACAGACATATTATAATTTAATACATTTAGCGTAATTAATTATGAAGAAATTATAAAAGCAATAAAGGCTTTAAAAGATGACTCTTCTCAAGGATTAGATTGAATTTCAATAAAAATGCTCAAATTAAATATACATTCATTGATTAAACCATTATCACACATTTTTAATTTAGCTATAGCAACATCTACTATTCCGGAATGTACACCAGTACACAAAATAGGTGAAAAATCTAACATTCAAAATTATTGCCCAATCTCACAAATATCAAATATTGCAAAGTATTTTGAAAAAAATTATTAAAAAAGAATTAGTCTATTACCTAGTAAGTAATAATCTTCTATCATATTGTACACAATTTAATTTTAGAACCTGGTAAAAGTACTGAACAAGAAATTGCAACAGTATCAAGCTAATTTATAACCAGCCGAATGCCTGGTGCGATAATCAACCAACAACATTTAATTTTTATTCATATATTATATTAAATATATATAGATTCTTTCGATAATAACATAAAATGTATAACTGTTTACTTTAGCAAAACCATTTGATACTATAGACCATAAAATATTACTACAAAATATTAATACACTAGGTATCAATGGAACGACTCAGAATTTATTAAATTCATATTTACTAATTCACTTATTTGATTCATAAAAACTGAACATTTTATAATTTATTAATTAAGATGATTGATAATTTTCGATATTTTGATAAATTTTGTCAAAATGCGATATTTAAATGCTTATAAAAAAAAGGTGGGTAAGTGGATGTCGCTCTGCTGTACAGTAGGTTACAAGTGGGTCACTGTATAATGGATGCTATTAAATTTGAATTCAATGATACAATATCATTGTATAAGAAAAACGATTCTGAGCGAAGACGGTATGTCAGTCTAGGTTTAAAACTAATTATATAAATATCTATGGTATTAAAAAAAAAATTGACCTATAATAAATTCCAAATTAATCATATCACATTATCACAATATCCATTAGGTACCTCAATTTTTGAACTTTAAATGTTTATAAAAAAAAACTGTGACTAACGATTTTTAATATTTTGCATCTGCCTTTGAAACAATATACTAGCAGCCTTTTATTAAATTTTCAAGTTTTTTTTACCAACAAATAAAATTTTATTGATATTTCCAGAAAAAAAACTAAAAATAAATGAAAAATGAAAATGTCCCTTAACTGTTCAAAATAAATCAAAATATTTTGAAAATGTTATCGTGTACAGAAAATGCAAATATAAACAACCAGTGAAAATTTCATGTATCTACGGTCATTCGTTTTAAAGTTACACCAAAAACCAAAATCGATTTTCTCGAAAACAGATTATGCGTAAAAATTCCCGTTTTTCCTTAATTTTTCTTTTGTTTTTCTTGGCGCTTTTGAAAAGTACTGGGAATTTTAAATTTTGACCTCCCCAATGCACCAACGATATTCACTTTTCCAATCGAACAAGATACTGAAGTCGAAAATTGAAGCATTATTTCGACTACTTATCGTGTACACAGACACAAAAAAAAACACACATCATTGTAAAATCAATACATTCATCGTTTCACTCAGAATCTAAAATTGTGCCTATGTATTTTTAATATTTTTCAATTGCTATTAATTTTTACACTTTTTGGCCCAACAGATAAAACTTTATTGATATTTATAGAAAAAAAAAAACTAAAAAAATTGAAAACTGAAAATGTCCGTAAACGGCTCAAAAAGAGTCAAAATATTTTCAAAATTGTATGGTGTATAGGAAATGCTAATATAAACATTCAGTGAAATTTTCATGTATCTATAGTTATTCGTTTTTGAATTACAACAAAAAAAGGAAATCGCCACATGAGAAATCGAGTGAATATCCAATGTTGTAAAAAATTGAATTTCAAACGCTCATAAAAATTTAATTTGACTTTCCGGTAGAAATTTTTTTATTGATAAAGGTAGACAATCTTATAAATAACTTTGTATTACATTTTCATATCTTAGATTTAAAAAGAAAAATTTTTACGAATTCTTAACTCAAAATAATTTGCTAATTTTCGTGATTTTTCCATATTTTGTCAATTTTTGAACTTTAAATGCTTATAAAAAAAGACTGTGACTAACGATTTTTAATATTTTTTAAACCATATACTATAAGCCTTCTATTAAATTTTCAAGTTTTTTTAACCAACAAATAAAATTTAATTGATATTTCTAGCAAAAAAACAAAAAAAAAATGAAAAATGAAAATGTCTCTAAACAGTTCAAAATAAATCAAAATATTTTTAAAATGTTATCGTGTATAGAAAATGCAAATATAAACAACCACTGAAAATTTCATGTATCTACGGTCATTTGTTTTAAAGTTATAGCAAAAACCAAATTCAATTTTCTGAAAAATCAATTTTGAGTAAAAATTCCCGTTTTCCTTAATTTTTCTTTTGTTTTTCTTGGCGCTTTTGAAAAGTACTGGGAATTTTAAATTTTGACCTCCCCAATGCATCAACGATATTCACTTTCCAATCGAACAAGATACTGAAGTCGAAAATCGAAGCATTATTTCGACTACTTATCGTGTACACAGACACAAAAAAAATAAATAAAAAACACACATCATTGTAAAATCAATACATTCATTGTTTCACTCAGAATCTAAAAACTCATATTGTCATTTTCTTTTAGGTCGTCACGCTCAAAAAGTTTAACTTAAATATTATCATACAACAATAAAATAGTTATAATCACATTTTATTCTCACTGTTATAATATAAGTATTTTATATTTTAACGTTCGCCTGTGGGCTTTAGTCACGAAAAATCCAAACATATGACACACACGTTTGTGGAGCGAGGAATTAAAATAATAATATTAATATATTGGAATGTTATTCACGAGCACATTATTGGTGTGTATAATAAAATGGTCGAAATGTTTCACAACAATAATATATTATACTTATTTTATTTCTCCGAATTTTCGGTTTGATGGGTAGGTTAAGGTATAATATTATGTACCCTCTACAGTAAGTATGTTATAGTTTATAATCTGAACAACTGCAACAACTCTCTCTCACCCTCTCTCTCTCTCTCACAAACACACAGACTCTCTCTGTCGCCAAATCTGTCGGTCTGTCTCTCCGTCTCTCTTTAGATGCTCACCACGCGGGTGGTCGGAGTACTAAGTGAGTCTCGTTGCAGGGGATCTTTTTATTATTACTATGTCTCGGAACCCCCGACTCGCACACGGGTGTTGCGATCGGCGCCGTCTGTCCTGTAACCAACTGCAGCGACGTCGTCGTATTATATTAGGTAGACATATTGTTAACCGACGTTTACAAGTGTGTCATAAATCTCGAGGAGATTGCATCTCCTATGGCACTGTCAGGACTGCGCCTACATATGCAGGGTATAGAATAAAAATAGTAATAATAATATATTATAAAGAATATAATGTGATCTTCGCCGCAGTGGTGGTGCGGAGATACCCATGTATAGTATCTGCAAGCAGCAAGATTACATATATACCGAGTGATTCGTTTAACACAGGACACTGCTAAAAAATAATCAATGTTTTAGAAAATACTTTCGGTGCTCATGCTTTTAAAAAAATGTACTCGCGTTTACTGATTTTACATCATAATATACTGATTAAGAACAATCTTTTTCGAACTAAAATGTACCTGCTTAATGTATTTCTGATGGTCATCACTGTCGAGTATTTTAATACATTATACGAGTATACTGACATATTTTTCTGCATAAAATACAAATTATTTTTATGCTGTGTTTACGTAATCCCAGAAAACTTCAAATAAATTGACTATTATCGCGTTGTATTATACTTGTCCTGAATTCGAGTTTTATGTTTCAAAATACTTAGAAAAATATTCCAATTTCGAATATGAAATTAAAACTGTACGGTTTTATTCAAAAGACTGAACTGCAACTTCAAAAATATTAAAAATATGTGGGTACATTTTTTTACAAAAACTTGTTGTTTTTTAACGACCAAAAACTGTGTAAAAAAAAAGTTTTCAAAGAAATTAGTAGATATTATACTTTTTGAGTCGACGAGTGTTCGACGATAAAATAATCATCCGGTAAACATTAAGTACCTACAATATTATAATGGATAATGAATAATTCATATGAGAAACAGTCGTATTATTTCCAAGTATACTGTCCGCATATACCTGTTTATCGTCTAAGTTATAATAATTGAACGACTCTCTGGCACCTGACGTTTTTACTTCCCAATAATATTATTATCATGTTAAATTCATCTACCTATAACTCGACGAAAATGTGTAATGATAATCACACATGATGATCCACGGTGTCACATAAAAACAAAATATGTTAGAAATTCAAAACTCAGCATCAAATAGTTATTAGTATACAGAGTGATTCGAAAACATGCTCGCCCACGTTTCGTATTCAATCGTCGATAAATTTGATAAAATTCTGCTTTTCTAATTTTTAATTAAACCTATTCTGACTCAATGACCATTTTATAAATTCTTAAATTACAAGCTGCAATACAAACTTCATATTATCAACGAAGACGCCCCATTTTTACTGTAAAACATTTAGTGGTACGCTGAGGGTCTGTGAAAGGCTCATAGGCGGTACTAGGAGGTGATTAATTGGTTTCTCATTTTATAAAATAATGCAACGGTCAAATTCAGGGTCATATAGTAAATTTGTGACAAAATGTACCAACAAATTATAAAATATTTTGAATGTGTACCTTGCACCGAAATAATGATGTGTGATTTGCACCGTTTCAGGTATAAAATATTGAATCATTTAATTAATACAAGATGCTAATAGTAATACAACTATAGTAAATATAATAACACAGAAAATTATATTATAGTTTCTTATTTCACTAGGTAACCTATTTACACCGACACCGGTCTACAGTACGTCAGTATGGGCTTCAAAGCAATCTAATAACAATAATTATTATATTATATACTATAGGTAGTATGAAAAACACATATTATTTTATAATAATTAATAACAAAATAAAATATGCCTTATTTTTATGTGAAATTAATACATTTTATATTGTATAATATAACGCATGTATTATGTAAATAATATTTATTTTATTGCTATAATATTTAATATGTTGAAGAAAATCCAAGCACTTTTACTGTTCTAAAACGTGATGACAGACACAAAAAAAAAAAAACACACATCATTGTAAAACCAATACATTCATCGCTCCGCTCAGAATCTAAAATTATATTTTAAATTATTTATGAATAAATAAAAAGTACAAGCTTACTCACAAGAAAAAGTTGTATCAGAACATATATTGTTTTCATCATTATCTGTATCTGAATCAGTATCAAATTGACGGTAGATTTGTTTGGTTTTTTCTATTGTGGACATTTTTAATTTTGGATATACTTTAGAAAAATTTTTAAGTTCTAAACAAAGTTGTTCATTGTCTAAATTCAATAAATTGGCCAAGTGTTTTAAAGCTGTATTTTGCATTTGTTCTGTTTGTTTACATTTTTTAGAGATCAAGTAATGAACATTTACTATCAATTGATTATTGCCGATGAAATTTAGACTATAAATAATCTGGTCAATTATTGTTTGATATGTTTCAACTCTGAATTTGTCTAATGGTAACTCCGGTGTTTCGTCTTCACATAGGTCATCATACATTCTTTTTTTCCTGATATTCCTAGTAACAGGTAAAGAAGATGATATTAATAAATCTTCAGGAAGATTCATACTATTAAGTAAGTCATTCATATTGTTCGAAAAATGTATAGAACTTTCTAAAATACTGTCAAAGTGAATTTGTCCAATTTCTAGTTTTACAGAATCTAGCATACTCCAAGGTGATAATAAATCCATACCTTTTGTCTGAAGATAACGTGACGTTAGTCCAATAATTTTTTAAAGATTTTCAAAAATATATGAGCTGTGAGAATTCTTTAAAATTAGATAAATTATTAATAAAGAAGGTTGAACAATTTTAAGGTCAAAAAATTTTTGGAAATAGAACCATGATGTAAAGAACTAATAACTATAGGAAAAACACATTTATCAAAATCAAAAATCCAAAACAGAGCTTTTTCTCGAGACCACCGTATGGTTTTCTCCTATTTTTTTAAAAGCTTTTTCAATTTATTTGATCCCAAAATTGAAGCAATTTCATGTAACCATAAGTGCATACGTTTATAAGATTCATTAAAAAATGTTGATAATCGATTCAAAAATCCAAACAGTTTTTTAGCTTTCACACTTTTACATGTATCACATACACATAAGTTAAGCACATGACTTATTTAGGCGGACTTAGAAAGCCTGCAGCCCAATAGGACTTTTCCTACTGTCCCACCTGGCCAGTTCATATCTGAATAGATGCCCAGAACGCAATTGTGTGCATATATACCGATTAACCAACAAATACGAGTGTTTGATGTTTGTCTGACCGACAAGACAACGTTTGTGCCGGGCTGGAACAATTTTGCTAACTGTGCGTCTACACGCCATATGCGCCAAGGTGAGCAACGTTTTGTAATATACTTATTACTTATATATTAATATTAGGATTGTAGAGTAGGTTTTTTTTAAAAAACACCAACTGACAACAATTGTGACAAAAAATTAACCTACAACTGTTTTGATGACAAGCGGGTTATGCTTGCTGATAAAATACATACCAAGGCTTATGGATACTATTGCATAAAATAAATAAATTAAAATTTATTTTGTTTTTAAATAACTAAACATAAAATATTTATTTATTTTTTATAGAGAGGCAGATGCACTTGAACATATGGAGATGGTATTGATGGTGTAAAAGGGATAGTAGAATAAATTAATGTATACGAATAATTTATATATTAGATTCATAATAGTTGCGTATAATCACTATTGCAATGTAGAAAAAAAAATAATGTACAAATAATGTTTTAATATATTATGTTTATTGAAATGAAAGAAAAATATATATTTTGTGTATACATATGAGTTTTTAAGAATTATTTATAAACCATTTTCTTAATGCAAATACTATATAAAATGTACGATGTCTAGGATTTAAATCCTTATGGAAAATACAACAAGGTAAAGCTTCTTCAGTACATATCTGATCGAATCCAGGACATCCCAAGTCTTCAAGGTTTATGAGTGCGATGTGTGGTGTATGCTCTATAGGAATATGTTTTTTCTGTTTCCCTTTGACGTAAATGTATTTAAATTTTCATGAATTCAATATTCTGGATCTTCCTCGTATTCTAAGTCACCATATTCTAAAGCTAGTTTGTGATAATTACGTTCCAACAAATTATTTATTTTTCTACTTTTGTTTACATCTAGCGAGTTTGAATTTTTAAAAATCCAGTGTTGAGTTGCCCAAGTTTCCGTATTTACAATAGACATCTCCTTAATAAAATATATATTATTCACTGCGAGAATACAATGAATGTCTACGATTGCCGAACCCATTATGATTTGACTTTATAATATATTTCAATTGTATTGATACGACTTATTATAGCAGTAATTATTTTTCTATGTTCTTGTATAGTTTCTTTATTCTTTTTTTGTATAAAAAAGTTTTTTGTCTAATTGTACGAATAACTTTTTCAACCAGATATTCATTTCGATGATTGGTCCTGTGTATTTCTTCAGAGTAAAAACAACCAGCAATAGGGTTACCTGTATAATCTTGCAATTGATATGTAACGGATAATGTTTTATTTATTTTGATAATATGGAATATTTCGGTAGACCAGTTTGCCAAGTACCCTTTTGTAAATATGTTTTTTTTGTTAACTTATGGATAATCATATACGGATAATCATATACGAATTCTAGATTTTATTATTTTTAACTTAGAAAAGCTTCTTTCACAAGCTACTTGTGTCACCGAAAGTGTTAACAAAAACTTGTATGCAGTATAAAGTGATTTGTATGTATTTGTATGCATATTATGCTTAGAAATAACTATATAACAACAGACTGGACAGTTTTTACAAAACTGATTAGAATTTGTACATTTTTCCTCGTGTGTACCTTGTAAAATAAGTTGGTTCTTTATAGATTCTGAGTCGGATTCATAAGAACTTTCATCAGAATAATCGTCTACATTTTTGTCATAACTCTCAGGCACGGTATATTTTATAGATAGCCACTTTTCTTTAAAATCAAACAATTCATGTCGCAAGTTTTCTGGAGTAGCAGTTTTGTCAAAGAAAATGATTAAATCACTTAAACGTGTAAATGCTTTTTTAGACATAGTATCATTTATATCTTTAAAATTGGTTGGATCTAAAAGAGATAAATCTGAGTATAATGAGCCGTGTTTTGTAAATCGTTCATTAAGTTTATTGATAATTGTGTCCAAAACTATATTGTGTACAGTTATTTTGTATTTTTCAAGTGGATTTATTATAAGTTGGTCTCTTGATACCTCACCTGGCATTTTTTTTTAACCAGTGAAAATTTCATGTATATACGTTCATTTGTTTTAGAGTTACACCAATAACCAAAATCGATTTTTTGGAAAACCAATTTTGCGTAAAAATTCCCGTTTTCTTTCATTTTTATGTTGTTTTTCCCGGCGCTTGTGAATTTACTGGGAAATTTATACTTTTGACCCCCCAAAGTACCAACTAGATTCACTTTCCTATCAGAAAAGCTACTGATGAAGAAAATCCAAGCACTTTTGCTGTCCTAAAACGTGATGACATGACGTGATGTCTGCAGACACAAAAAAAATATAAAAATATATGTTTATGATATTAATCAATAATAAGTAATAATAATAATAAGTAACGACATTTAAATTTTTCTTTGATCTTTATTTTGTATAACCCTGTAGAATAGGCAACCTAATGTACGGTCTTTGTACGAACCACCGAGTGTTGACTGTTTAAGTCTTAAAATGACGTAAATTGCCTCAGTCATTCGGCTAGCGATGGATCACAGTTAAATAACCATTTTCTGTACACAATGATATTATTATAAAAATATTTAGACAATTTTAATCTACCTTATACCTAATACATGATATTAATATGTATTTAAAGGTTTTTTTTTTGGTTTTTTCTATGACGTGATAGGTACCTATGCTTTTTTAAAAAGTTTACCAATGTTTATTCTTATTCCATGGCATTAAATAACTATTGAGAAAATCGAAAAATTACCTTTTTAAAGTACCATCTTGATCTAATTTGCTAAAAGATAAGATACTATATCTTGAAATCAAAGCACTCCTTCTGGTAAAAATTTTCATAGGTACATGAAAAAAAAGAATTATAAACGCCATTGTAAAACCACTAGCTTCCTCGCTCCTCTCAGAATCTAAAATAATCTTTAGCATTGGGAACGCCGGGCTTGATACAGTTAGTAACAGCTATATAAATATTATTAATTTTAGTAATTTTATTTAACTACCTATCGATATTTAAAATGTATTATAAACAATTTTGCAGAGTACAATGAATATAAATTAATATTATAACATTAATTCTTCAATTAATAGGATATAATAGGTATTGCAAGAAATATGACGTGTTGTATTGTTTTTATAAATATTTTAAAATCATTAAATTACCGGCAATAATTAAGTGTTATTGTTAGTCCGTCTTTATTCTATATGCAACAATTACAATATTATAATGTTTATTTCAAACAATTATAATGTAGATCAATATAATTATTAAAGAAAAAAACTTACGTTGAAATATAAGAATGTTAATAATTTAACGAACAAACCTAATATTAATAATAAACTATAATATTATAGCTACATTTAAACTGTAAGTTTCAAAAAATTTAAATTTATTTTTAACTTAAAAAAAAGGTGGGCAAGTGGGTGTCGCTCTGCTGTACATTAGTAGGTTACAAGTAGGTCACTGTAACGGAAGGTGTTAAATTTGAATTCAATTATATAATATCATTGTATAAGAAAAACGATTCTGAGCGAAAACCGTCAGTCAGCCTATGATATTAGTATATTACCAAGTATATTTGATGATATTATTGTGAATAAAGTAATTTATATATAACCTATTCACGTTGAGCCTTGTTTTACATTTTCAATCTCTAGCAATAAAAGTTTAACTTTTTAAAAATTATTAACTACAAAATAATTATTAAATTTTGTCAAAATTCGAAATTTTAATGCTTATAAAAAAAATTATGAATACCTATGCATTTTTAATATTTTTCAACTGTTATTGTAAAATAATATCAGGAGCTTTGCATTAAATTTTCACGCTTTTTTAACCAACAAATAATATTTTATTGATATTTATAGAAAATAAAATAAAAAAAATTTCAAAAATAAGTGTTTCAACAAATGTATAATTAAAGGAAAAATTGGTGTAAGCATGCTTGGTGAATCACCCAGTATATTATGATAATATTATATTATAACTGATATAAGTCTCTGTGTGAAATAAAAGCGTTGTGCGATTGGGTTTTGATTGAATTGGAAAGAATACCTATGATTTATTAGTGATTTTTTTATGTTTTATTATATTATATATAAATAATTAATTTTTTAATTTTTTGATGTTTTTTCATTGTTATTACTTACAAATCAAATCTTACAATTTATCAAATGCTCAACTAGAGAAGTTGAACCTACAGATGGATAAAGGATAATAAGGACAAAATTGTAGAGCCTTTTATAGTTTTATGTCACCATGATGAAATGCATCCCTTTTATTAGAAAAAAAAAAAAATCAGACACATTTACAAAATAAAAATTTTACGTAATAATAGATTTTGGATCACTTAATCAAGTACTATTAAACTAATTTCTCTCACTGTTAAATATTACAAAATTATTAGATCAAAAAGGTCAATATTAACAGATTATAGTGTTGTATTCAAGT